ACACCTAGAAGATCGCAGATGTTCGGTGGCCGTCTGGCCTGCCAGCTCACGCAGACGAGGAGAACCCCCTGCCAGAGTGCAACTGACAGAGGAAGCACAGCGGCTGCGTAGAGTACCCCATCCTCCACTCGGCCTCTTCCTGTTTTTTATATTTTACGTTTTTTTGTGGAGCAGAAGGGGCTGCATTTCTTCAAAGTGTCACCTGAGCCTCGGGAAAAAACCCTCAGCACAGCAAGAAGTACAGGCCCAGAAAAGTGCGCAGTTCTCCTTTTGAGAAGGATGCCAGAGCGTGGTCTTCTTCTGGTGCTATATTAGTGCTTCACAGCCATGCTGATGATTGAGGGCCCAGACTACGGCTTGCAGGGTCCTCAAAGCAGGAGTGTTTATTGAAAAATTTACTCATAGGATCTGCTCTGGATTAATGATTTTGTTTAATTGTTTTATTGCATAGTGGTTGCAAATTTTTTTTTCTCAAACTTGAGTAGACAATGGAAGAAGTAGCACATTAGGGTTTTGTTGCTCCAAATGGTGCTATATGAGTAACATGCTGAATGCTAGGAGTGGGGGGTGTCAGTGCTGGGCTGGTCAGGGTGGGGGTTCAGGAGCATTTTGGGTGGCTGCTTTTCAGTGATGAGTTCTTTGACACTCCCTGCCGAAAAGTCAAGTTTGTGGTCATTCAGGAGATGTGCCATCTCACTGGATGGGAGGCAAGACTGCCCTGAATCTCCCTGCCCAGTCTCAGCTTACCTTAAAGCTCAGATGGCCAGACAGAAGCTGCTGGAAGCATGAAGTCCATCTCTCCCTGTCTTTGGGACGAGGAGCTTACAGCCTTTATCTGGCACTCAAGATTAGCACAGACTCTTACTTTGGTTTTTGTTAAGAGTGGTTAGGAGGGTGAGTCTGTCTCGCTCCACACAACCCAGTCAGGGTTAGGAGGCCACGGGGATGGGAGCGGAAGAGCATCCCGCCCCCCCACCAGCAATAACACTGCAGCCCCTGGGCAGCTGGCACAGTGAGCCAGGAGAGACGGCAGACCAGCCGCAGAGTGACGCAGGTCACCATTTTCCATGAGTGACTTGTGTACACTGTGCAGACGGACAGCCGGGTGTCGGCGCACGCAGCCTGATTTAGGAGACGGGCTTCAGGCGTGTTTCAGGATCCTTTCCTGCAGCTCAGTGTGCAGCTGAGATCTGACCATGCGAGGTCATGATGACCCCAGCAGGCTCGTCCTGCGACAGCACAGATCGCTCCCCTGTCCTGCCTGGCTGTCGCAAGCAGAGGCGTGCCGTTGAATCGATCTTCCTGCGTGTTGCCATAGTGTGTTGGTTTTTGTAGAAGCAGGTGTGCCAATGAAGTGGGCTCCGGCCTGACACAAACACGAACACGGTCTTGCACACTAATAACTAAGATTCAGGCTTGTGTTTATGTGTCCTCTGTACTATTGTCACACTTGCCATTGAGTATATAAGTGGACTGCCATTTGTCACAAAAGACGTCATTCTGAATTTGGTGCTGTCTCTGGAAAGAACTGATCTTTCACTCCACTTTAGCAACACATTTTGTGACGTATAGTTCCGTAGTTCAAACGTGTTTTATTTTTATAGATATATAACGTGCTTTCACAGTATGTATGTACTGTGGCATCAGTCATAAGGAAAGGGCAGGTTGTCAAAATTCTGCATTTTCAAAGATGTAAGTACTTCCCTCTGAGCTTGGGAGTGTGTGGACTTGAGGTCGCACAAGAAAAATATACAGACAGGGAAGTAGAATGTAAATGAAGAGGGTGACTTTTGAAAATATTTGTACCTGTCCCTATGAATTGTGTCCTGTATTTATGAACATGGACAAAAGAACATTTTATTTCTGAATGTGACTGATTACAGGACAGAGGGAAACATGCGGAGAGGAAGCAGCCCAATCTGCGGGTCACCTATCAGGCTGCTGCCATGCCCAGTTTGGGGTGACACGTCTGAGTTTGGGGTGACACGTCTGAGTGTCAGGTGTTTTGACACTGGTAGACTGGTCTCACTGCACTGGGTGTTAGTGCCCGTTTCAGCCTCCCACGGGGGCAGTGACCGTCAGTACTGATTGGTCCGTGCCAGGAACAGTGTCAGAATCTCAACATATAGCAGAATGTTTTGAACAGATCTTAAAAAAGAATATCTATTTTTAAAATGTTTGCATGGTTGTGCATGTGACTGGTTATGATATGAAAAGCTAACAGATGAGTATGACTGCCTGAATTGCACAAGAGCCCAGGTGCCAGTGTCCCATCCTTGTTTCTGAATGTCGTCCTTTATGCAATTAGACTCGCTGCTGTACTTCGCTTTCTCTGTCCAGCGGGGACTCGGTCCTCTTTTATAACTGAAGCACATTTCTGTACACATGCACAGTGCAGAGAGACCAGTCAGGCCTGATACGTAACACATTTGTGAGAAAGCAAGCCTGGATCTTACAGGTAAGGTCTGCCATAGCTGCAGTACTGTATTCCTGCATAATGGATGTCGGATTACGATATTCATTCCCTCAGATTGGGAGAATCGGCACTTTTCTATACCACACCTTAACGTCTCTGGTCGAGTGTCGTCACTATATTGAGTGTATATCCTTCACCAAAGTTCTGTTTTGAATTGGTGTACGAATTCCTTGTGTGTGATAAAAGACTGAGTTTGATTGGGACTGTTGATGCTGACCGAGTGGATGTTCTGATACCCTGATATCTCTCCCGTAACGCTACTCATTCATAAGGTTTTTTTTTAAGTCTTTTCCGTGTGTCAGTATCTTTTCCCCGGGAATGTTGTGTTTTAATTACTTGTCTCAACATTGCAATATAGCCACTGTTGTTTTTGTTTAAAAAGGAATTATATGAAAAAATAAATATAAGGTGAAAATAATTTGCTAAAATGTTGAATGTCAGTGTTAATTATTTTACTAATACACTTTTAAATTGTTCAAATGTAACAGCACCAGGACTCTTCCGTGGGATTAAACACTCTTGTCACATTATTCGCTAATCTATTGGACTTCATACTGAGCCCACAGTATTACGATTGGCTTAGATATTGATCCAGTATTCGCGAACGCTACAAAGACATGTGCAGTTAAAGAATCTAGATGTTCCTGGGTGTTTGTTTGTCCCGTAGTACTGAAGGTACTTTTCAAGAAACATTTCCTGCAGTAGTGTCCTGGTCGGAGTTTCCTTCGTGCTTCAAATAAATGAGGAATTTTACCCGATATCTTGGGGGGGATTCTGCTCAGTACTAAATCCGGTATTTGTGCAATTTTCCCCACTAGGGGGTTGACAGGATTTGCAGCTTCCCATTGCCTGCCGTACAAACCCGTTTAATTGACTGATATTTTTTACGGACTCTACCAGAGTTTCTGTTTTTATGAAGAACTCCCCTGAAAATCTACTACTCAGACAAACGTAATCTCTCTCTCACACACACACACACACACACACACACACACACACACACACACACACACACACATATATATATCCAGTATATATATATAAATAAAACCATGGAATATGCTGTCGCTATTTACAGCATCGCTGACTTCGGTTACGTTTCATTGACTTAATGATGGACCTAACGGCTTGATGATGGACGGCTGTGGACTTTGGGGAGACGCCGTCACGCTTTACAGCAGGTACCAGGTTTGCTGGGTGGCGTGACGTAACGGGGCAGGTGTGGCTCGTGACAGCCCAGTTCAGGAAGTGAATCTGCAGGAATGATCAGAAAGTCAACAGAAGGGTGACGTACAGTGTAATCCTTAGGGTACTGGAGCGGACTGAACTTTTTTTTGTATTTTAAACGCGTGAATAACACGGCCGGTGGAAATGCTTATTAAGGAGTAGTAAGTATCAATTTTAAAGTGTTTCTGCTTAAAATTGAACATTTATTATATTAGTTGATCTTGTGAGGAAACGTAGTTTGCGCTGTTGTGGCTTCTGTGAACCTGACCCTGATATACAGGTAGGCTACCTCAGCCAGGTAGTTACTCGGCATTTAAAATTGACTTTTTAGTGGAGTTATTAAAATGTTCTGAGACGCCAGGTTTTATTTTATCAAAGCACGTAACACGTAATCCATCTCATTTTCTAATTTTTCATACAAAAAATGGTCTGTGAAACGTGGCGTTTTCTGCCAGTTTGGTTCAGTAATGTGGTGCGGTTAAGACCCAATGAATGAATGAATGAATGAATGAATGAAGGAGCTGGAACGTTTTAGATTATGCAAAACGGAAAGGTACTGATTTGATTCTTAAAAAACTCCGTATGTAACGTTATAATTACAATATAGAAAGTTTGCTGCATGAGAAATGGCATATAGGCGAGTGCGTCAGCCAGTTTATACGGCCGTTTGCGCGATTTCCCGCAACCAGATATTTACAAGCTACTTTTGGCGGAGGCTGATGCACACGCCCAAAGGTAATATGCAAAGACATCTATATTGTGTAGCAATGTGTGTACATATCACGCTAAAACAGTACGTCGGGCCACATTTTTTAACCTGCTTAACAGCGGTGAGTCATTTGTACAAAAGTACTCAGGAAGTGGTACAGGCTGCACCGTGTGAATGACAAGTTTTGTTAGCTCGTTTACTTTTCGACCGTATCAAAGTAAACAACTAATAAATGGATGGCCCTTATTTGGCATGCTAAACATCAATCAAACATATAGTATTTTAATGTAATAGATTTTATTACCAGTTTGCCGTGAGCGTCACTCTTTTCTCTAATGGAGTGGATGCTTGGTGGCTTGGATGATGTGCGGTGCGGAGCTACTGATCCCTCTATACTTCCCCTTGCTGAGATGCTCTGTAGATAAAATGAGTTGCCTTCACGTGGTACAATACTCAGATATGCTCACCATGCCGTTTGAACTGGGGGTGACTGGTATATCATCGACGGACAATGCACAACTGAATAGAGGGTTTTTTCCTGCCATTTTAAATAAATTAGTTTTCTGTTTTGTCCAGAAATTACAAATGTGTAACACCACTGTAAAACAGGACATGGTTGATATGTATCCATAATGCTTTGCTGTGGACCTGAACTTCTCCATAGATTTGTGCTCTATTGTGGGTGAAGGTAGGAAATGACAGCTTCCCATCGTGTGTTTGATATACTTTCCAGGATTAGACCCGACCAAATGAGGAAATTAGCATTTTAGATAAAGATGACATGCTCTCTCTGTTGGCCAAATCAGGACTGGTGTTTGTGTTGTGATTGGGTCTCCTGTCTCCTCTCTTGCAGCCGTGTGATTGTGCCTGTCTCTGTGGATGAGGTAGGTGCAGGGCAGCTGTCCTCTTTGTTCCCTTTTGTGTGCATGATCAGCCCAGAACACCTATACAGAACATACGCAGATTACAATGGCCAGGATTGCAGTCGGAGCCGTCCATCTGCATTTTTCTCACACCCAGAAGTTCTCATCTGCTTGTTCTGACTTCCCTCTGCCACTCCAAGCTCTTCCATGCTCGTGGGGGGAGAAGTTCCCGCTTTTGTTGGGCTTGTTTCATTTAACACAAATTTTAAAGTTTTTTTTCTTTTCCAGTGTTCTAAGGAGATTTTGCATCAGACTTTTTTGATTTTTAGCCATGAAAATGGTAAATGGAAGACGCTGTGTGGAAGGTTGTGTTTCGGCTTCTCAGTAATTCTCTCAAAGCCTTCGTGGTTTTCTGTCCTGATGTGACACTTCTCTTCACTTATGACGGTGAAATCTAGCACAGTCTTTTGTCCCGAGTAGAACTGCACGACTTCCAGTGGGCCACAGGCCGAGGCTGGTAACCCATATAAAACTTTGCAATACCCTGATGTACTTCAGAATTTGACTTAAGAGAGCTGAAGTGCTGACAAGGAAACATCTTGGACGAGTTTCCTGTCTTCAATCTGCCCGTGTCCACAAAGGTGGCAGTACAATTACGGATTATACCTGCTGGGTGCCGACAAACATGCAGACTCTGACTGTCTAATGCAGGTTCTGAACCTAACCTTGAATCCTGTCTGAAGGTTCTCTTTGTGGGTATGAAAATAGAACTGGTTTGATGGTCTGTAGTTCCTAAAACTAAATTTACTCAAGCAAAGGTTTCTTGTCCTATTGCTACACTTCAGTGTGATTAACAAAAGAAAATGTTCTTAGGCAGTGTGAGTGTATATGTAACTACATATTCCTTAAGATATTTATTAAAGTAGAAATTGGATTATTGTGTCTGGCTAACGCCCGTCAGATCAGCTGGGGGCCAGGGCACCTACCCTGGCAATCGCACTTGCATGAGCGTGGCAGACGCCGTGCCAGCGGAGCCGTGTGTGTGTGTTGCACGAGCGTGGCAGACGCTGTGCCAGCGGTGCCGAGTGTGTGTGTTGCACGAGCGTGGCAGACGCTGTGCCAGCGGAACCGTGTGTGTGTGTTGCACGAGTGTGGCAGACGCTGTGCCAGCGGAGCCGTGTGTGTGTGTTGCACGAGCGTGGCAGACGCTGTGCCAGCGGTGCCGAGTGTGTGTGTTTACAGGTTTGTCTGCCTTGCTGTGTCTGAATAAGGGATGTGTTGATTTCTTGCCCTGCAGACTTTTATTGAGATGTTTTCAGTTCCTTCATCAATCTCATTTACGTGTGTGACTGTGGTGGTGATGGTTTATTTTTGATATGAGCCTCAGGGTATATTTGGCTCTGTCTGGAGGGTTAGGGGAGGGGTTTTCTGGGCTAGCAGGTATGACTTTATTGTGGTTTGCTAGCTGGCCAGAAAATTAGCATGTCAGCCTGGCTGCATGAGTTTTTAAATGCTGCGCGATGCCAGGTAACAGAGCGCAGTGTTAATGTGTCTGAGTGCAGGAGTGAAAGCTCAGAGGTCAGGGCAATGGGCAAGCTGTGTCACAGCTGCTCCAGACGGACCGGAGAAAGGGACCACCCTGTTAGGGAGTCTCAGAAAGACCCATAAGCATTTTGTTTGTGGAGCTAATTGTGTTCAACAGTCTTTCCCTGCAAAATTCATGTAAGCCCCCCCGCCCCATTCTAGAGTGGGGGCACTCCTGTGCTGTCAGCTAACCGCTACACACCATTTTAAAACAATATCTGTTGCACAATAATCTGTTGAATCCTTCCACTCCCCATTTCTCGTTGCCTTCTTTACGGTAATGAGCACGATGTTAAATCTCCATCATTTCATGCGTCATGTCGCCGTCCCGCCTTAATCGTCATTGTCTTTATTCAATCTGAAACAACTGCAGTGACACTGTCATTACCGTAAAGGGGTTGCTTAGCAACCCTACAAAACCCGCACATGACACTGACACGTGTGAGTGAGACGTCTGCCTTTGTTTCGCTCTATCAGTATAAGGCTGCTGTCTGTGTGTTTCCTTTTTAGAAGATTTAAATGGTTAGGCTATGAAGAAAACAGCCATTGGCTGGGACTGGCCAAGTGTCATAACGGAATGGATAGCAGCTGACCAGTATCAGTTTCCATTTCTGTCTGCTAAACAAACTGGTCCAAATCTTCTGTTCTTAATCCTCAGTTGTGACTGGTTTCCTGTATCTTGCATTTGTTTAGTTTTTTTTAAATGTCTTTTAAAGCTTTAATGACTTAAACACTGCCTTCATCAATACCTGCTTACAGTCAGTGTTGTTTAATAATTTGTGTAAATGTGTCCAAATGCAGTTGTACGAGAGTGAATTGTCTCTTTCAGTACAAAGTAGGCCAGCTGTACTCTGTGGCGGAGGCCAGTAAGAATGAGACGGGTGGTGGGGAGGGGGTGGAGGTTCTGAAGAATGAGCCGTATGAAAATGATGGAGAAAAGGGCCAGTATACACACAAGATCTACCACTTGCGGAGGTGAGGTCTTCTTGCACGTTTTCACACGCGTGTGTTATGTTCACACTCCTCGCCGCTGAGCTCTGACCCCGGTCTCCTCTCCCCAGTAAAGTTCCTTCGTTCGTGCGAATGCTGGTTCCGTCCTCCGCACTGAAAATTCACGAGAAGGCCTGGAACGCCTACCCCTACTGCCGCACCAGTGAGTCGGGGCCGGGAGTCCAGCTAAATACCCCCAGGAGTTCTGCAGTGATGCAGTGATGTATAAGCACAGTGAGAATACCTCCGGGAAGCCCAGCCGTCTAAGAGGAGCTTCTGGATGGAGGGGGGGGTCCAGCCCCCTGCAGCCTCTAGGGGCTCCCCGTTTGTGGGGCTGCTTCTCTCGCCCTTGTGGGCTGTAACTTCGGTCTCGGGTCTGAGTCTGGTTCTGGGTCACTCCCCAGAGGTCGTTTTGGTAGATTTAAAGTGACATTTAAGCATGTCTCTCAATGCATGTCCTAAATGCTTGTTTTTATTTTCTCCTTTAATTTTGTTTTCATCTCGACGGTGCAGTAATTACAGTAAGTATCCATTTTAATATATCACAAACTTGTTCAGTAACATGCAAAAGCAATGCTAAGATAATCTTGCCTGTCAAGGTATGTTAACTGGTGTGTGTGTGTGTGTGTGTGAATTGAATTTGAATTTGGTGATCAGTGGTCATTGTTAACACACCACAGCACAGCACACAGTGCGCAACAACGAAATGTGTCCTCTGCATTTGACCCATATGTGACTTTCGTGACATAGCAGGGGGCAGCTAATTCAGCGCCCGGGGAGCAGTGCTTGGGGACGGTACCTTGCTCAGGGTACCTCAGTGGTGACTGGCCGGTGGGGGATTCGAACCTGCAATCTTTCGATTATAAGTGCGCTTCCCTAACCATCAAGCCACCACTGCAGTGTGTGTGTGTGTGTGTGTGTGAATTGAATTTGGTGATCAGTGGTCAATGTTAACACACCACAGCACAGCACACAGTGCGCAACAACGAAATGTGTCCTCTGCATTTGACCCATATGTGACTTTCGTGACATAGCAGGGGGCAGCTAATTCAGCGCCCGGGGAGCAGTGCTTGGGGACGGTACCTTGCTCAGGGTACCTCAGTGGTGACTTGCTGGTGGGGGATTCGAACCTGCAATCTTTCGATTATAAGTGCGCTTCCCTAATCATCAAGCCACCACTGCCACAGAGGTCCAATAACAGAGCAGTGCTCAGG